TTGTGGTTACATTAATTGAGGCATTAGTCTTAACATTAATGGTGAGATAGCAGATAGTATACCTCCTTCTATTGTACAATATGGGCTTATGATATATTCTGCCAAAAATACTGAACCAGAATTATAAGTGTAACCTCCAATTTACAGGGAATTCGGGAGACAGAGAAACAAGCTAAATGACACCAAAGTATGCAACTAGACAATTGTAAAAACTGGTCAAATCTTGGGGAAAACTGATCTAGTTTTTTAAACAAATGAATGCCCAGAAAGGGATTAAAACTGATTTAAGAGGCATAACATGATGGATGAATCTTATTTTAGATAAATTATCTTCATAGGATACTCTTGAGATAGATAGGGAAATTGAATATGAAATTATCAATTTTTCTAAGTCAGTCTCTTAGAACCTTCTTAATGTAAAGAAGTGTTTCAAGGTGATACTGAAAATTACACACACACATATACACACAAAGAGCTGGAAATATTGGAAGGGACTGAGCAAGAATACACATGTGTCCTTACTTTAGACAAATAACCCAATCCAAACTTTCGGGGCCAGTTTAATTAAACAACAAATATTAATCAAGACTTAACCATGTACTCAGTTCTATTAGATGTTGCAACTATAACAGAGGATACAACACGGGAAACAAAATTAATTTAATAAAACAATAGAGAACAATTACATTCTAAACCATATACAGCAGAGACGGAAAACATCACAGGATTTCAGAGACAGGGAACTCGGTAGGGGCAAAGTGTTCTGTGAAGACTTTATGAGGAGGTGGGTGTGAGCAGAACAGTGAAGACGGAGAGGGATTTAGGAAGCTCTGTGTGGCCATACCTATGTGTGTCCTCCCGCCCACACGTGCAATGGAGTATTGTCTGGGTCTTGCAGGGTTCACTTGGAATTAGCTGGCAGGTTTTGTCCATATGTATTTTTCCTGCTAAACATTTGAAACCAAAATCACTTTGCTTTAAAGTTACCTTTTGTAGTTACCTCCTTAAGATTATCGTGAAATATAAAGACAACCTTTTCCATATTTGAAACGAGTGATCCACCATAATTGCAAAGAGGCTTAAACTGCATGCACACACGTAAACACCTGACCTTTGCAGTATTTGTGTCTGGTCAGAAAGAGGCTGGCTGTGGAAAGTGTTTTATGTGGTATTTTCCAAAATTTAAAACTGAATTAGAATCCAAGTGCGTGTTTCTAAGATTAGTACTGTCATTTACCTAGCAAACTAATAAGTTAAATAAAGTTAAGTATTGAGTTAAAGTCAACATGTTCTCAACGAAAGGAGGAAGAACAGTGATTTGCCCTTTGAATCCACGATCCCAGCAGGGATTTAAGGCAGGGAATCCTTGATATTCATTACAATTTATTCCTGCAAATCCTGTCCTATGGTAGTGATAAAGCAGATTATTTCCTCAAAGGAATAAGGCTGTAATTAGAAGTTGTGTGGCTTACAATGGACATGATAAGGACTATGAATGATTTGATGGTGTGAGTGCTATGGGAGACATCATATACTTTCAAAACACTAAGAAGGATGTAAAATGATGGCACTACAATTAATAAAAAAAGAACGAAACATCTGGGAAGTATTGGAAAAGGTCTGCCTATGATTCTTGGCAGAATAAAACTAAAAACAGAAAATAAAATGCTTTAAATGTTAACAGAAAAGAAGTTGTGTGGTTTAAAAAATTGAAAACTTTGATATAATTCTTCAAAGTATAGAATTTTAGAGTAGGTGTAAGTTTTGAAGGTCATGAGGGCCCTGTATTTTTGACCAGGAAACCAATGCCAAGAGGGCGCAAAGTGGCTTGCCTTAGGCCCCCCCAGCTCTCTCAGCTAAGTAACAGCTGGTCTAAACCCCTGAAGTCCTAGAATCCCAGTTTCCACTTCACCATGTTGCCTTACTTGGGACAGTCTGGTGACGTGCAGAAAAGTGATAGCCCTGTGCTAGAACAAGGAGCCCAGTGTTCCATGAGGTGTGTGCACGGCTCACAGAGATGCAGCTCTATGGCACGAAATTTGGAGCTATTGAAAACAAATATGTTGACCATATTAAATATCACTTTCAATATATGTATTACAGTGATTTTAAAAAATATTTATTTTACTTATTTATGCATACAAGAGCTGGGGTATAGGCCAGAGTTGGGAGGAGGGTATGTATGTAAGGGGATTCACCAGAGACAGAGTGGAGAACAGAACAGGCGGATTGACTGAAATACACTGCTGAGGGGAGCAGCAGGTGAGACAGGAGAGATCTGCTACGCCATGTGGATTAGCTCCCTGGCAGGGGATCAAACTCAAACTCATGCTGCAGTGGCTGTCTATAGCTTCATAGTGCTGAGACTTAACCCCTTGCACCATCAGGGAGGCCCCTACAGTGATTTCATTTTTGGAATTCAAAATTGCTTTTGGACGTGATTTGATTGGCATTAAACACTGAAAAAGCAGGTTAGGCTATTTGAAAAAAACTATTATATCTGTTTATTATGGTTTTGTGTTTGTTTTAAGAACAGAGCAAGTCAGCGTACTGTCTTCTTGGCCTAAGAAAGGGATTCGTAGGAGACAGGAAAAGTAATTAATGGAACCATTTCTAAGAGCAGGTATCAAGGCACAAGGGAAAGAGAGATGAGGTGTGCAATGGAGAAGGGCTAGTTGGCATGAACAGGATAGAGACCTGCTTGGAAGCAGGAAAAGTAGGTCGGAGAGCACGGGCTATTAACAGTCAGGTGTGAAGAGCTCATTCAGAACGGATGTGACTCTTTTGCTCAGTCTATCAACATATTGGATCACTAACTTCAAGACATGCCTCACTATTTTGCCCCTGTAGAGGGGCAGGGAGTCACATGGAAACAGAATGGAGAGTGTATTGGCAATGGCCTTTTTGAATTTGACACCAAAAGCAAAGGCAACAAAAGCATAAAACCTCCTGCACAACAAAGGAAACCACCTGCAAAGTGAAAAGGCAGCCTGTGAAAAGGAGAAAATATTTGCAAATATATTTATCAGAAACATATCTGATAAAAGGTTAGTATTACAAAAATACATAGAACTCGTATAGCTCAAAGCAAAAAGCTAAAAATGTGCAAAAGACTTGAATAGATGTTTCCAAAGACATATAAATGGGCAAAAGGTACAACCAGGAACTGGAAAAAAAATCTTCAATGAGATGTCACCTCACTCCTGTTACAACGGTTATTCTCAAAAAAGACAAGAAATAATAAGTGCCTGTGAGAATGTAGACAAAGGGAACTCTGTGCACTGTTGGTGGGAATGGAAGTGGATGCAGCCAGTATGAAAACAGTGGGGAGGTTCCTCAAAAAATTAAAATAAGAACGACCATATAATCCAGCAATCCCACTTCTGGGTATATAGCCAAAGGAAACAACATGTTTCTCTCAAAGAGATATATGCTCTTCCATGTTTATGGCAGCGTTTGCACAATAGCCAAAATATGGAGATAATCAAAGTGTCAGTAGATGGAAAAACAGATAAAGACAATGCAGTATAAATACGTGTGTGTGTGTGTACCTATATACATGGAATATTATTCAGCTTTAAAAAAAGAAGGAAGGGCCTCCCTGGGGCACAGGCGGTTGAGCGCAGTGCGGTGAAGTTGTCTGCAGCCTCTGCAGCATGGGTTTGATCCAGGCCGGCTGGGGAGCTAACCCACATGGTGCAGCAGACTTCTCTTGTCTCACCCGCCACTCCCCTCAGAAGTGTATTTTGGTCAATCTGCCTGTTCTGTTCCCTGCTCTGTCTCTGGTCAATCCTCTTACCCTCCCGCACATTAGCCTGTACCCCGGTTCTTGTGTAAATGAATAAATCTTTAAAAAAATAAAAAAAGAAGGAAATCCTGTCATTGGCGACAACATGAATGAAACTGAAGGGCATTATTCTAAGTGAAATAAGCCAGAGAAAGATACATACTGCATGACATTACTTATATGTGGAATGTGGAATCTAAGAAAAAAGACAAACTCATGGACAGATTAGAAAAGTAGTTGCCAGAGGCTGGGGGAGGTTAAAGGGTATAAACTTTCAGTTATTTGATGAATAAAGCCTGAAAGTTAGTGTAAAACATGATGACTATAGTCACTATATTGTATAACTGAAATTTACTAAGATAATAGAACTTCAGTGCTTACACATTGAACATTTAACTTAAAAAAAAAAGAATGAAACTCTAGAGGGTGCTTTTGAAATGAATTTGATTGGATACAGAGACATGAAAATCATTATTAGGGAATGCTCAATATTTCCATTTTATAGGGGAAGATGATGGGTTTTATCATTTACTTCTGGTAGCAGATGGCCACTTGTATGTTATTTTGATGTGACCTCAAAGTAATTGCGACTCACAGTAGTTTTTAATTTCACCTTTTGAAAACTTCTATAATGCTGTGAATAAGCTACAAATAATACTTGTCATAGAGGCTTACCATCTTCCAGTGAGACCATTTTCTAGTGAATGTCAAGGTTGGGGTGCAGGGGACACTTTAGTTGACCAGCAGTATCTTGGAATCTTCTTATTAACAAGTGTGTGGTGCCAGATGCTGCCATATCAATGGAATTCCCAAACAGTTGTTGAGATTTGTTCAACCACGTTGCCACAGAAGCACAAGACACAGCCCCAGTATGAAACTCAGGCAAAACCACCAAGGACACCAGGAGAACCAGCCAGCCCACACCAGAGCTACCTGGAGACCTCCTTGAATTCTTGGCAGGCCTCCTTAGTCAGGCCTGTATCCAGCTTCCAGGAGGCATTCATCCACCAACCAGCACCAGTCCTGCCGCATCCAGGCTTGTGACCCCAGGCCTGGCTGACTCTTCCTCCAACATCTAGGTAAACCAAGGCAGAGGTCAGAGGAGAATCTGCTTTACTTAACTCCAAATCACTCTCATGGCAACCACAAATTAACTTGGGCCAACCCATAGTTACCAAGGTTCAATTACCCCAAGGATGAGATGGGCCCTTCAAATAAGCAGGTGCGTTGGGATACAGTGCATACACACAAGCTGGGTGTCAGAGGTATAATTTTGTCTTTATGGTGTGGATTTTACATTGCTCTGAAGAACTGTTCCTAGTGGTGACTATGCAACCACATCTTCAAAGCGGGGGTAAAAATTAGAACAGTGCCAGTAATGGATGCTATGAGAAAGAGACACAGGAAGATTCGGTCAAGAACTTGAGCTACGAATTTCCAGTCTTGTACTACCTGCAAAAGAGAAAAAGATGCCTTTCAGTGAAGATGCTGAGCAACTGTTCTGAATTTGGAGGATTTAAAAAAAAAGAAATATTCAGATTTACAGCACTTCACATTTCGAAATGTACCTAACAATATCTCCTGTTATACAGGTTTTCCTGTATAACTGCACAATCAATGCCCAAAGAAAATAGCCTGTAGGTTGAGTTTATGGGAACACTTTCACTGACATTAAAGACATACATTATGATTCATTTGTAAACACTACTGTTCAAAATGGGAAAAATCTGATTTTTAGACAAACAAAAAGCCAGCATGTGATGTTCTGGATAGTACGTATAAATAAACCACAGATTTATAAATTATGAATTTCCCTGACTAAATGTCACAGGCTTTCCGTTCCGCTGCACATGTATTAATAGATTTGACTGCCATAAGGGACAGAGGAGACTAGTGCCTTTGGAGGAAGGGAAATTGGAGCAAAATGAGCAACAAACCTAGTTCGTAAGAGAAAGGTGGAGAGAGCCAGGGGCCATTTCTCATGTTTCAAGAAGGAAGAAATGTTCCATTTCTACAATGTGGGGATTTTGTAAAGATGAACTATTAGAACAGGAGGCCTATGGCCTAGAGGGACATAGTTGCAAAGATGGAAAATGAATGTATTCCATGCACAGAGAGGTTTAGAAATAAAACATTGGGGCAAAAACACAAGGAGAGATTTAAAAATTTGAAGTGTCAATCTTATTTGGTGGGATCATTAACGATTTTAATCTTCTCGTGTACATTTTGTGTATTTTCCAAATCTCCTATACTGATAATGTGTTACTTTTTAATGAAAAAAAAAAAGCTATTTAGATCTTTGTTTTAGAATTTAAAAAAGATGTAATGAAATCAATAAACAAACAAAAAACCCTTAAGCTTAGTGCTTGTTCTATAGCAAGTTTTTGTTTGTTTTCCCCATAATGCTTTAAATTTTTTTCAGGTCACATTAAATACAACAAATTGTGATAGAAGATAGACTAGGCTGTATCTATCTAGGATATCCCTTTAAGAAACTCTTTTATAAATTTATTTATGAGATCAGGCTCTTGGCAACAGTTTTCACTGATTTTGGAGTAAAATAGTTGAAACCTATAAGTTGGTCTGAATACCTAACTTGTTTTAAGCAATAAAGCAGTTTTTACACCGAATATTTATATAGCAAATACTATTTTAATTCCGTTGGGGAAGATAGATGATGAGAAGAAAGATCTAATTAACATTTATTAACTCTTACAATTTATAATATTACATAATCACAAGGCTGAGACTATCTGTGCTGGGCACACCTGCATATTTTATTTACTTATCTTTATTTTATTTTTGTGTGTTTTATAAGTAATTTATTCCTCACAATAACCCTGAAGGGAGATTTCTGATAACTGAGCTCAGGTTGAGTAACTTGCCTCAAGTCATATATAATATAGTAATGTAACAGGGTGGTCCCCAGGAAAGGGGGAGGTTCCAGGTTTCCTGCCCCACCCAAAAGGAGGGTGGAGCTGAGCAGGGAGACAAGAAGCTGCAGAGGAGACTGAGGAAGGAAGCAGGATGGAGCCAGGAGACCTGGAGGAGGCGCATAGAGCCTAGAGACACGTGAAGAAACTGCGCTTGTCTTTTGGTCGTGGACTGGTTGACACAGATGTGGGTGAGAGACCGTGGCGAGGTGACAATGGCGGTTTTTGTCTTGAGTTTGATTTTGTTCTTTTCCTTCCAGACTTGTCTGGTGGTTTCTGATCCTTTTCTGTGGGTCTGCACTGGAAGATGCTTTAGACTTGCGGGAGGCTTTGGGGCCTTGCTCTGGGCCAATCCTGCTTGGGTGGACTTTACCCATGAGGGGATGGATAACTTTGGGTGCTTGAATTAGAAACTAGATTCTTTGCCTTTCCTGTATTGTTTCCTAATTGTATTAAAGTTCCTTCCCATTAAAGTCTCATATGTTTTGTGTTGATGCATGGATGGCAGAACCTATTTATAGCAGGCAGGTTTGCGGGGTCTGGGGTGCCCCTCTCCATGCCCTGTAACAGTATAAGACCTGAGTCCAGGATACTTCAAATCTGAAACCCACATTCTTTTTTTAAAATTTCAATGATAAACAATTATACCATCTTCCCTTAACAAAATATTTATTGTCACTCTGTATTCTATATTAATTAAAAAATTCTAGCCTTTTATTTCCAAATACATGGATAGATATATTCATCACCCCTGGAAAAGTCAGAGATGAATGAATGACCAGAGACTAGAATAAACAATTTAAAATATCTAACTGAATTATCTTAAATAGAATTAAAGACTGATTATAAGGGATAGTGCTTAATCTATAGTTGCTTCACTTTTGTTCACCATGTTTTGTGAACTTCTTCCTAAAACTTGAAATTTCAGAGGAAAGCCCCTATTTTATGTTAGGGCTTGTTTCAAATTTTATGTGTGTGAAGAAGACAGTTAATAAAGTCACATTTCAAAATGACAGCATTTTGTTTCATCTATTTTTTTTTAAAGATCTATTTTATTTATGCATTGAAGAACTGGGGTACAGGCCAGAGAAGCAGGGGGTGAGAGGATTCATCAGAGACAGAGAGGGGAGCAGAACAGGCAGATCTACTGAAATACACTACCAAGGGGAGCAGCAGGTGAGGCAGGAGAGGTCTCCTGTGCCATGTGGGTTGCTCGGGATTGAACTCTTGCTGTAGTGGCTGCCAATTGCTTGATAGTGCTGTCTTTAACCCCTGTGCCACCAGGGAGGCCTGAGCATTTTTGTTTTAACTGGATGTCAAATATTAGACTTTGCACACCTCAGTAGCAATGATATTATTTTGAATATCACTTAACTCACCTGGCTGATGAAATGCTCCTTCTTCACATGCTGTGAAATGTATCTGATGGAATCAGCAGCTTTTTCCAAGAAAGCAACCAGAACCTTTTCTCCGTCACTCATCTGTTTTTGTTTCTTTTTTCCTAGGACTTGATCTTTCGCAACTGGTTTGCTCTCATCTTTTTCTGAGAAAGAGTAGCGATCCACGTGGTCCTTCATGCAAAGTAATTTAGGAAGTTTTTGCAGAAATAGCCTCTTGACCCAGGGGGCCATGGGATGGTAAGTTGAAGAAGATCTGTGGTGAACATTAATGACAAAGACGGTCACAATGATCGACAGGGTGACAAAAATCATAATGAACAAGAGGTACTCTCCAATCAGAGGGATGACCTTGGAAGACGATGGGATTATTTCTTCAATGACTAAAAGAAAAACCGTCAGGGAAACTAAAACAGATGTTGATAAGGAAAGCTTTTCTCCTTCATCGGAAGGTAAATAGAACACCAGAACTGTTAGGAAAGACAGCCCTAGGCAAGGGATGATCAGGAAGAGGGTGTAGAACAGAGGCAAGCGGCGCAGGACAAAAGAGTAAGTGATGAAAGGATACGAATACAATCCATCCCTTCTATTTCCCTTCATTCCTTTTGCATTTAGTATTTCCCATTCTCCATTATCGAAGAAGTCTTTTCTGTCCACATTTTCATTTATCAAAATGAGGTCAACCATGGTGCCATCATAAGTCCAGGATCCAAACTTCATGGAGCAGTTTTGTCGATCAAATGGGAAAAACGTGACGTCCATGGTGCAGGAACTTTTATAACTGGCGGGAGGGGTCCAAACAACGGTTCCATTAGACTTCACGATGACTTTGGTCATGAGGGAGCCTTTGAAACGCCCATCAGCACTGTAGTAAAAGTAGTTTCATTTTAATGATTAGATGAACACTAACTAGGGTTTTTTTGCTTGTTTGTTTTTGTTTTGTTGGGTTTGTTTTTTTTTTTGCTCACCACTGTACTGATGGAGGACAAGAATAGAAAAACTGGAAAGGAGTCCTCTCAAGACTAAAACTTGACTCACACAAGGAGGTGGGGGTCGAGGGGAATAACGACCATTAACCCAGCTGCAGAGGTCATGACCCTCAGGCACCAGTGCCTTATTACGAGGCATGAGACCCAAGCAGGATCAGATGCTACAGGGAGTGGAGCACAGATCTGAGGGTAAAGATAGGAGATTGGGCCCACCCTGGAATCTCTGGTCCCTTCCTGGTTTTGCTTCTTTTCACCAACTCTTTCCTTCAGGGCAGCAACCTCCTGCCTGCCCGTGACATGTACCATGCGGGACTTCTCTTCACTGACCTCCCTCAGCAGAGGATGCCTGCTGCAACCATACAGGCCTCTCTTAGCAAAACCTGTCCGTTTCCCTAATAAACCTGTTCTTTAAATATGACTAATGTCTCCGTCTCATGGAGAAACACACCTGGGGAACTTGCCGCTTGCCACTGAAATGGGAGCTCTGGTGAAACCTTTCCCAGAGTGAACCAAAGGACCCCACACTCTACAAAACCCCAACAGTACTATTTCTCATTTATTACTTTCCTACTGCAGTGTCTAAGAATATGCTAAAAAGGAACACATCTTGTTAGAGTTACACATTCCTCTTCATTATTTTGCCCAAATCAGGCTTTTCTAGTTCTATTCCTAATCTGACCAGTATAGTTTTTCTTCTGAGATACTTACTTTTCAAAGAGAACTATGTCAGGAAGCCAAAGAGATTCTGATGGAACTTTAATTGAATGAATTCCACCATATTCATCTGGATTCCAGCGCAGTTTGTAGTCTGTCCATTCCTGCAGAAAATTGTATACTGTAATTTTATTCTGAAAGTGAATGTAGTAGACCTTGGAATCTTTAAATTTATGTTAAATTACTGTAGGGTAAGGATAAAATGTCAGGCTTTTCTGCCCTCCTGCCATCAGGATAGATGATGGATCCTTGCGGTCCTGAATGCATGCCTGATGGCGGGCACCTGGAGTAGGGTGTGGGCAGATGTAGACAGGATTCACCTGGGCTAAGATTGGGCTTTTAAGGGCGGCGTCATGAGGACGCCAGCAGAAGCCAAGAAGCCAAGAAGGAACAGAAGCCGAGAGAGAAGCAGAGAATGCCGGAGAGCCCAGCTAGAGTGAAGACTTGCTGGGGGCTGGGAGGCCTGCCAGCCTGCCGCATACCTGGTAATCCCAATAAAAAGACCTGCAAAAAGCCACTGAGGACTCTGACTCCTCCTTCATCCGGTCTGCTGGATCAGAAAACCTGCATTGTGTCCCATCCCTGCCTCTACAATTACTAACCCACTGTCTTATTTTAAAAGGAAAATTGTGTATTTTAGATCTTATGATCCTGTCAGTGGACTCAGTGCATGCAATTGGCAGGACAAAGCTTGAGTGAGCTTGATCTCTCATCTTGTTCAAATTCACTCACCCCCGCTGTCTGGGGTTTCCACAATTGCAGTATCTCCTCACAGTGAAGAGATGCAGCAACAAATATCACTGATTCAGTATCCATTTTTTCAGCCTCTTTTCTTTCTTTCAACTCATTTTATTTTAGGAGAGTTGATCCAGTGATGTTTTACTTTCATGGTGATGGGTACATCATCTCTTGAATATCACGTAAGAGTCTTGGACAAGTATCCACCCAGTATGTTAATAGGAAACATCCAGTATCCACTAACCACTCCTGATGACATTTTAACTTCTAACCAATGGAAAAGAAAATCTGTCCAAGAATTTCCCTTTCAGGTTCTAATCTGAATTTATTTTGTGAGTAACCAATTACAGTTTTAAATTACATTCCTAATATTGTTAGCCTTTAGATGCTTACATATTTTCCCTCATAATATAATGAAATAATTTGGCTTGTTTTACAGGGGCTGATGTTCTAGATTAAGAAATCTGACTAGTCATTGATTGGGTTATTTAGTTCAGGAGCCTGGTGTATGACCCAATTACAATAGAAGTAGATTTTCTTTTTTTTTTTTTTTAAAGATTTATTTATTCATGCATATAAGAACCAGGGTACAAGCCAGATGCGAGGGAGGGTGAGAGGATTCACCAGAGACAGAGCAGGGAACAGAACAGGCAGACTGACTGAAATACACTGCTGAGGCGAGCAGCAGGCACAACAGGAGAGGTCTGCCGCGCCATGTGGGATTCTTGCCGGCCAGCAGGAATCTAACTGGCGCTGCAGAGGCTGTGGACAGCTTCACAGCACTGCACTCAACTGCCTGCACCACCAGGGGAGGTCCAATAGAAGTAGATTTTCTTAAAATATTTTGGATCTAGAATCTTAGGAAATCCGACCTGAAAATTAAATTCTTCTGTTCTACTGTCCCTCCTGTAGACAATTAGGTAATAATGTAGGATAATGTTAAATAACACTCCAAAAAGTTAAAGGGTATGCCCATGATAATGCTTTTTGCAGCACAGCAAGGCTAACTTTGTCATTAAAAAATTCAGGAGGTAAAATATTTAAATATGCATGATGTCTGAAAAATGATGGAACTATACACTCCAGAAGAGGCATTGCCTATCTTAGACAATACTTGTGAGGCTAGTCCTTGAAAATAAATTTTTAAAAGATCATATAGGTCTTTAAAAAAAGTTAGAATCTAAAGCACAAAAAAATATGATGACTATTTATGGAAACCACGGATATGAAGACTGATGGTTTAGGGAGCCCTCACTAATAAAATATTTACCATGTTTATTCCAAGACCACACAGCTAGTTGGTAAAGAAAACAGGATAAAAGCTGCTGCTTATGCCCAGGTTGACTGTGTAATCACACCTCCAGGGGGTGCCATTCATATTGTCTACCATGAAAAGGGCACCCCCTGGAAGTTGCAACCTGGTGACCAGTGATGGCGGTCAGGCCAGGATGCATCTAAAGTCATATCCTTCACTCTCCCTCCCCCAAGCTACACCACACTAGAAGAAATAGGGACCTAAAATTGTTTTATCAGGTCATGTTTGGATCCTGGAGGACGTTATAAAGAAATCAACGGTGGGTTCTGGCTGCATTCCTGATCACAAAAGAGAAAGGGACTGGGTAGCACTCTGGGTCAACGCTGCTTCTTTTGGTGTACCCAGAAGGGAAAGGGCACTGAATTAGGGTCAGGTGCCCTGAGTTATGCACCTGATTATCCCTTATGCACTGCACTTCTTTGCAGGGTTGGGAGAGACCACATCCTTACAACTTCAGTGACTTTCTGTAGCCAGACCTGGGGCATTGGAGGTGTTTCCCTGACATGGTCTTCTAGAAGGGCTCAGTAAATTTCCACTGTGATGCTGCCTGAGACCCACACCGGGGATGATGATGACACATGTCAGCATCAGCAGCATTAGGATAAAGACTCAGTTCTAAAAACTCTCTAGTTCTTTAGGAGCTAGGAGATTTTCTGGGCAAGCTTCAGTTCTCTTGAAACCCTAGGGGCATCTGGAGATTAACCTCCTGCCTTTCCCTTCTTAAAGGAATAATACCCTGTGTTGAGGTAGCATGCTCTAGCCACTCTTTCAAAACCTTTACAAAGGCTTGCAGCACTTCTGGGACTGAGAACCATGTGACTGAAGGAAACAGGAGAACAAGGCTATGTCAGGGCCAGAAAGTCAAGTTCATCTATGGCTAAGAAAACCATGGAGAAATATGCCAGGGCTAGGTTTCTTAATTCTGAAAAGTGCAATTACAAATCTATATCAATATAGTCAATTGTCTTTTCTTACATAGATTACCTGTAATATCACTCATCAATGTCAAGCAGTTGTTAGAATCCAGAGCCAAATTTCATTTAAACCAAAATCATGACTTTTTTTACTATAATTAAATATATATATTCTTAGTTTAACACTAAGATCAGAAATTAGGGAAGAACAAGTATTTCTTGAAATTTCCTCAATGAGTGACTTTTGGGACACCTCTGAGATCTTTAGTCAGCTTAAAGCCAGATGTGACATTCTCAATACCAAATTAATGTTGATTAATATTAACATTAAAGTCAGCAACATGATATAGCATATGTCTCATATTCAAAAGATATCAATGAGTTGTTCAGGCTATGAAACGGGATTTGTCATTAAGGATGAGAAAATCTACAAAGAAGGTACTAGGTAACGACAAAGTTTTTGAGTGGCAGAAATCTGATGACACCGCAGTTTCTTTATAAATCATTATTAGAAAGTACTGAACAATGCACCTGCTGATTCTGAACAGATAACTAACTTAATTCAGTATAAACAAATGAAAACTACTAAATGTGTAGGAATGTTAAAATTGAATGAAATATTTAAGGTAGTCCCACAAGGAGTGGGAGATTAGGCAATATCCAGATATTCATTAAAAAACATAATTGTGAACACACAATCACACCAAATTTTCACCTCCTACGAAGGAAGTGCCAATATTTTCTCCTTTCACATAACATGTGAAATTGGGTTTTGAGAGGTGATTATTTCCTGACAACTCTAGAAAAATATCCTTTGAATAGATGCTTGTGTGTTAGGAAACAGGTCATCACAAGCTGAAAGCAAGCATCTCCACAAAAGAGCTGTAAATCATTCAAATGTATTTTAGTTTTATCAGGAAAACATGCATTCATCATTTTGTTTGGGGCTTTACTTTGTTCTGAAATGGATGGTGGGCAGCTTCTGTCATTCCTGATTTCCACTATCTGGGGGGCAAAAGTAGGCATTCTCAGGTGTAGATCCTTCCCAGGAAGGACCATAGGGATGAGGGAGAATCTAACATCACTGATTTCATTATCCAGTGTGGTACCCCAAAGTGGAGGGTGGGGGGAGAAGGGGCGGAGCTACATTCTGCTGCCTTTCCACCAAGTTGGGCCAGGACCAGTGCCCAGGCCTCACACCAGCATTCCCCGCAGCCCCAGCAGTCCCAGGGCCGGCCCTACCAGGAGCGACAACACAAAACCAGGCAGCTTTGAGCTTCCAGGACCTGTGCTTAGACTCTGAAGAGAGAACATTTAAAAACATAAAATCTGGGCCTCCCTGGTGGCGCAAGGGGTTAAGCACACTATGAAGCAGCCGCAGCCTCTGCAGCATGAGTTCGATCCCCATTCGGCCAGAGAGAAACCCACATGGCACAGAAGACCTCTTCTGACTTGGAAGCTGCTCCCCTCAGCAGTGTGCTTCAGTCAGTCTCCCTGTTCTGCTCCCCACTTTGTCTCTGGTGAATCCTCTCACCCCCCTGCATCTCTCACCTGTACCCCAGCTCTTGTATGCATAAATAAATAAATCTTTAAAAAAAACAAAAACAAAAACACATAAAATCTTCCCAAATATGGCCCCAAGGAATCTGATAATGCTCCTTAAAATAATAATTTTCTCTCTAAACAGGAAATAATTAAAATAACTGGGATGGCAGATAACAATCCCCAGATTGACATTTACCTGTTTCAGCCATACATTTGTTGTCATCAGCTGATTCTTTTCATCCTAAGAAATGACAGTGACAAAGATGTGAATTAATTAAATAAAGTTGTATTTGGGGGTTGGATTTCTTGTTTGTTTTGGCTCAGAAAGAGTATAAGGTATTCAAGTGTAAAAGGACATTCAATTATAAACAGTAAATGGCATGGAATCCTAAAATATTATGCTTATTATAATTGAAATGAAAAATAATAAGTAGCAGTTCACTGTGCTGATATTTAAATAAAATTGCATAACCCAGTAGGCATGTTAAGGGCTCAAAGTGGAACAAAATATGAGCTAAATTAGAGATAGACTTTGTAGCATTTTCTAAAAGGAATTGTGGCACACTGAATCAGCTGGGTGGGTGAGTGTGTGGGGCAGAGGATTTGGGCAACATGGGAGGATTATTCTGGGACTTTGGGAACCACTGCAGGATGATTTTGCAGCATTTGGGTTGTTCAGGTTCAAGGATTGATCAGGAAAGCAAACATGGCAGAAGCACAAGTCCAGCAGGAAAATTAGTGGAGAATGCTCAGGCCCAGGTGATTCAGGGAAAGCTATGGGGTGTAAAGGGCATCAGGAGGGTGAGGGGTCACTCTGGTGTTCCCTTTGGGAGCTGTCATGACCTTCCCCTTTTCCTGCAGGGGCCCCACCAGACTTTGGAGCCTGGAAGACACTGGGAGAGCTGTGGTCAGCTGTGGGATCAGCTTTCCTTTCTCTCCAATCCCCCTCCTCAGCCCCCAACCTGCCAGGAACAATGTTCTCCTATAGCCATCCACTTCCCAGCAAAAAAATCCCACATCAGTGGTGTTGCCATCAGAGTTCTTTCCCGTGACACTTTTCATTCCTTTCTCCGGCCATTTCACTGACTTCTTGGGGCAGATTTGTTCCTCCACAGTAAGTTATTTTTAAAATAGAAATGGCAGACCCCAGGACAGAAAACAAAGTAAAATCTCAGGCTCACAAACAGTTTAAGGAATGTATGTTCTTAAGTTTAGTGCCAAGGATTACTTACCACATCTACGAGCTGAGATATTTTCAATCCAAAATATACTTTTATGGTATCATTGGAATTTAATACAGGGCGCACCCATTTCTGATAACCTTGGAATAAATGTCTGAGGAGGGCATCTTCATTTTCTGCTATTGAACTTAATCCTGCCGCAACTGGAAAAATCAAGAGGGTACCTGAATTAATGGGACAGGCATAATGGCTCCTTTGGCATCCTAGCACCCAGACCTTCATATAATTCTGAATAATCCACTTTAGCAAAGGAAGCTTTGAGTACACAGGGATTTACTTTAACCATATTCCGTGCCCACCCTCAGCTCTATCCAGAAAACACACAAGTCAAAGTAGAATCCATATTTACCCAGATTTTTATCCTCTCTGGGTATTTTTCCATCACGAGGTCAACACCTTAACTCCCAAAAGATCATCTACAGATATCCCCTGACCCTCAATCACATGACTCACGTGAGCAGTCCCCTCCTTACAGACACTGTCTCTGCCCACATGTTGTATCCACCACTGCTCCCTGTCAGGCTCCTCCATGCCCCTTAGCAGAGTTTGTTGTGTATTTGTTGCTGCCTGTCCTCCTCTTGAGCGCCATGATGGCAGGAATGGTGTCTCTTTCATTTGATGATGTTAACCAGAATCTGGAAGGGGGTATCCCTGGTGGTACAAGGAAGATATCTTCCTTCACTGCACTATGAAGATATCTGCATCCTCTGCTGCACTAGTTCGATCCCCGGCCGGCCAGGGAGCAACCCACATGGTGCAGCAGACCTCTCCTGTCTCGCCATCTGCTCCCCTCAGCAGTGTGTTTCAGTCCGGCTGTTCTGTTCCCCACTCTGTCTCTGGTGAATCCTCTCACCCCCCATACCTCTGGCCTGTACCCCAGCTCTTGCATGCATAAATAAATAAATTGTAAAAAAAAAAAAAAGATGAATCTGGAAGAGTGCCTAGGCTATAGCAGGTGTATATTTTATAACTACCCAATGAGTGAACCAGTGGAGGGAAGATGTCATGACCATTTAACACGTAGTCAATATCCACTGGACACCCGCCATCTGTCTCCTCCCCAAGGCCCTGGTATGATGACCTTCCCTGCTCAACAGCTAGACTCTTATACTCTCCACCTCTACCTGGTGAGAGCCTAAGAAACACTAATTCCCAACTTTAACCCTCAGGCTGAAGAGATGGTTTGGAATGCAAGCTAGGGATAAGTTCTATTTCTTTTTAATATTGTGCTATGACATTTAAAACAAGGCTTTTAAAATAACCATTCTCTTTTATAATCAGCTCAGAGGTAGGATTCTCTGGGAGGTGGGCTACACACTCTGGTATCCCCACCCTTCTCTCTTCTGCTCTAGAAAGCATATTAACGTGCAAATGTGTGCAAGAGAGAGGTGTGATCCTGCACTGGCACTCATTTATTTAAAAAGCTAGCTGTTCTCCAAACTTGGATACTTTAACTCTCCTTAGCAGGCAGAGCTGCATTAGAACAGTCAGCTGGACGACTGCCAGGGCTGCACTCTGTAAGGGGGCCCTTAAAACTTACTGGAAATGTAGGGGGCAGGAGGGAATTGAAATTCCCAGAATCCTGCTGAGGAAATATGTGTTTGCTTCCTTCAAGAATTTCCCTAACCCACGCCCAGGCTCCACTTCCTTCAAAGCCCATCTGATTACTTCCCACCATCTCCACTGGTGCCACCCAGGTCAGACTCAGGACTTCTCTCTTGGATTCATGGGCTGCTTCCTAATTGCTTCCACTCTTGCCCCTTTTACCATCCAGTGCATTTTCTGTTCAAAGCTTGAGCCTTTTCTTAACAGAAGAGGATTCTGTGTGTTCCCTGTTCAAATCCTCCAAATGGTTTCCATCAAATTTAGAAAAAACATCTCAAGCCATTTTAGTGGTTTCCCAAGACTTAAATGGTGTCCTCCTCCTTCCTGCCTGGTGGAATTGCACCTCTGGAGGGACCTTCTTAAACTATGACCTTGATGTCCTCCAACATTTGCATTCCCTCAAACCATTCCCTCTGTGAATGGGCCCGAAGGGAAAAGAGTAGATTTGCTCTTCAGCTACCTGTGTATGTATGTTTTTTTTTTTTTTTTAAGATTTATTTATTTATGCATACAAGAGCTGGGGAACAGGCCAGAGATGCGGGGGGTGAGAGGATCCACGAGAGACAGAGTGGGGAACAGAACAGGCAGACTGACGAAATACACTGCTCAGGGGAGCAGCGGGTGAGACAGGAGAGGTCTGCCTCTCCATGTGGGTTACTCCCTGGCCAGCCGGGGATCGAATTCATGCTGCAGAGGCTGCGGATTGCTTCATAGTGCGGTGCTTAACCCCTTGCACCACCAGGGAGGCCCCCTGTGTATGTTTTGAAATATATCACCAATGTTAGAGGTGATCCACTGCCTGAATCAAGGAAGAAAAATCACAAATCTGCACAGGCTGTTCGGGGTGTAATGTCTGTGCCCCTACAAACTCATATGTTGAAGTCCTAATTCCTACTCTGTCAGTATTTGGAGATAGAACCTACCCATAAGGAGGTAATCAAGGTTAAATGAGGTCTTGACAGGATTTGTGTTCATGTAAGATGAGGAAAAGAGACACACCTACTCTCTTTCTGTTCACATAGCTCTGAAGAAAAGTCACGTGAGGATACAGCAAGAAGGCGGCCATTAATAAGCCAGAAGGGAGTCCTCACCAAAACCAAATTTGCCAGCACCTAAAATCTGAATTTCTAGCGTCCAGAAATGGGAGCAGACAAATTTGTGTGGTCAAACCACTCATCTGTGACTATGCGATGGCGACCCAAGCTGACTGGTTCAAATCAGTGCTGACCTAAACAGAATCTCCCTTTCCCCCTCCCCACCAAAAAAAAAAAAAAAAAAAAAAAAGAAAAGAAAAAGAAAGTTCAAAGGATTAGTACTTTCTGATTAATATCTTCAAATTTCCGAGTCTTCCCAAAATAGAAGCTGAAGTCAGGGATGTTGTTGGAGCAGAGGTGGGGGACAGGCTGGAAATGTGATTTGCCCTTCCCTGTGAAATAGAATGTTATGAGGAAGGGCAAGTGCCTCCACCATTGTGTCTTTAAGGACAAGTCTTCAATAAATATTTGATGATGTTTGGTGAAAGAACAAATTAATGAATAAGTGCCTAACAGGCCATCATTGTGCTTTCTGAGCTTAGGGGAGGCCTGGGCTCTCTGATCTCCAGGACATCAACTCACTTCTATGCTCAGGATATCCAGAAGAGGTCTCTTGTCCTGGAAAATGGATTCCTGAAAAGTTGTGTATAAATCAATCTTCTGCAAACGGACTAAAATTAATTATGCAAGACTAAATTTCTAAGATAGATTTCAGCATCAGCAGTTCACTGGAAAGCCATCACTGCTCTGGAGGATGATTGACCCGTTGCTGTCAGGGCTCATATTTCTGAAAGTCAGCTTCTGAAGAGGGGGTGCAGAACATTTGTATTCCTACATCATTTCAGCATTAATTATAAAGGAAGGAAAGGTGACACGAAAAGGAGCAAAGTCAGTAGAGCTGGAAAGGACCTCCAAAGTCACCTAAACCCCTCATTTTACAGGTGAAGATTCTGTGGTACTGCTTTGCTCAGGGACACCCGGCAGCTAAATCTCTGACCTTTCTATCAGCCCATGAGATTCTTCAAGAATAAAGGGGTCAAAAAGCTGTTCCTTCCACTATGGTCCTATTGCCACATAAAACTGTTCCAATAATTCACTTTTTTTTTTTTTTTTAAAGATTTGCAGAGAGCGGGGAGCAGAACAGACAGATCTACTGAAATACACTGCTGAGGGAAGCAGCAGGCGAGGCAGAAGAGGTCTGCTGAGCCATGTGGATCAGCTCCCTGGCCAGCTGGGGATCCAACTCGTGCTGCAGTGGCTGGCGATAGCTGGGTAGCACTGTGTTTTTAATCCCTGTGCCACTAGGGAGGTCCCCAATAATTCACTTCTATGTACATGTATTTATTGTTAGGGCTACTATTGCTGTGTTGAGGTTAACATTACATTTTCTACAATACTTGACAGTATTTTAAAGCAACCAGTTGCTCAGAAGAGTGATATTCTAAAACCAGGTCATATGTAATATTTGTTTGGTCACAGGGAGACTCTCAACACTGGTGACAAAGTTGGTCTTCTGGGATCCCACCAAATATTCTACTATGGCAGTTGGCACCTGGCAAGACTGCTTTGCCTGGTGCTTCTTTGATGGACACCAGTGTGTGGTCACTCTTCTTGGATGTGGGCACTCAAAACTTTACAGCGAGAGAGCTATGAGTCTCCCCACATTTCCTTGCTTAGTCTTGCTCTGCAGCAACCCCTCGACAGTCTATGCAGTATCTTCAGAGCTGTTACAGCTTTTCATCATCTCTTTTGAGAAAAAGGAATTTTATTCCTGCCTGAAACCCCAGTCCTCTGCTTCTCCTCACCCTTTTCCAACTTAGTCTTTGTCTCCTTTTTCCTTGTCAAAATATTTCCCTTGGGATTAGACAAGCTACTCCACAGACCAAAGGCAAAGGGAGGAAGAACCAAAGAGAGTACATCCGGGTGACTGGGACAAACAGACAGAGGTGGAGACAGCTCTGCCTGATTCCAGTTATTTCACCCCCTGGAACTCAGGCTGGAAAGAGCTCCGGGAGAGCATGCTGCTCTTGGCTCGGATTCTGGGTCTTTTGCCAAACTCATCACTTGTTAAAACCAGAATCCAACAATATTTATATGACACTGAGAGGCACTGGACTCAGATACAGAGACATGAATAATGTCCCTGATTCCAACTTGTGTGATCTTAAGAAAGGTATTTCACCTCTCCCATAAAAACAAGGAGTGAATGATTGCTAAAACCCCTCTTAACTCATATATCTTGTGCCTCTAGGATCTTCATGTCCATGAAATAGTCACAAAATGTGTCCTACTAATGCCAAGTATTTGTTCTTCCAAACATTCCAAGGAGAGTCAACGTTTCAGATGTGCCCTTGATTGGGGCCAGCCCTTCACTCCATTTATTGCAATAGAGAAAGCCCCCAAGTAAAGCCCTAACAAAGGATCGCACACTCTCACAACCATAAGTAGAAGGATGAGGCACTTGTACCAGCTTAGCTAAGAAATTTTCTCTGGAAACCAAGACCTGACCTTCTGGCCTCTGCATTCTTTTTGATCATGTTCCTTTTCTTTTCTTCAGACTGCAGACCCTCTTCTCTCTCCTCCTTGACTTGCAGCAAGATTTTGACAACTCATTCACACTAAGGTAAATCATTGATAAGACTAAATAGATGAAATGTTCCATGATTGTCTGTGACATTATTGAAGACAACACCTTGTTTATCTTCAGCCAAGAGAGGAAATAATTTCAAATCTCAGCAAGACTGGTTGGGAGAGGCACATTTTTGTTTTGACACCTTTTGATATATTTTGACTACGCATCTCATTACCACCACCTTGTCCCCCCCAAAAATCATACCAGAATATGGTAACTTCTATCAACACATTTCACCTCAGGGTGAAATCAAATAATAAATATTTAGTGGATGCTTGCTAGCATGAGAGTTTATTAGGATTTGATTAGATTTTGTTTTTTCTCCCATATCCCCACATGCAACATCCATCCTGGGATAGAGTAGAGCCTCAATAAATGTTTACAAATGAACAATCACACAACATCATGTGGTAAGTCCCTGTTTTTCCAGAGAAAAGCATGAATCAGGAACACAGAAATGTCACGTGGCCAGACACTATGATCCTTTTCACCAAAGCCAGAAATACAAAAACAGGGGTCACTCTTTGTCATTTCAAAAAGGTAGTTGTGTGTGACAATATAAACTATTTTCTTTAAATAAGTAATAAAGTTAAAGAACAAAGGGAAGGTGGTACAGATCTAAAAAAAAAAAAAAAGACAATAATGAATCTGAAGTATTCACAAAGGTAAGTTGCCACAGGTTATCACATAGATTTATTACAGAATTTGTATCAGCTCAGGGTACTTCCCCAAATTTTTGCCACCTATACAAGGTAACGAATAGCAGGGTCTCCTCCAATTCCCATTTCTTATGTTATCCTTGCCAAACATGGAGGAGAAAGCACAGCTGGAACAAGAGTATTTATACTAACTACCATTGCCAATCGGTGAGATGATTTCCCTGGGGGGAGTGGTAAGATTCAATTCTTTTATGGTAAATGGAATATTCTAGTAAACTAGGGCAGAAAAATATTAGACACATATGTAAATTGTATGCTAACACACAAGGGAGTGGATTGTAATTTTTATGATCGACAAATTGCATTTAAGACTTTCTAGAGGCCGGGGCCTCCCCGGTGGCGCAGCGGTTGAGCGCTGGGTTGCGAAGCTGCCCGCAGCCTCTGCAGCGCCGGTTCGATCCCCGGCTGCTCCCCGGCCACCTGAGGAGGGTCCCACATGGCCCGCAGACCTCTCCTGCCGCCCGCTGCTCCCCTCAGCAGTGTACTTCGGTCCTTCTGCCTGCTCTGCTCCCTGCTCTGGCTCTGGTGAATTCTCTCACCCTCCCGCGCTTCTGACTGTACCCAGTGCTTGCATAAATAAATAAATAAATAAATAAATAAATAAATAAATCTTTAAAAAAAAAAAAAAGACTTTCTAGAGGCCAAAGTGGATTGGATGCTTCCTTCACTTGAAGAAGACAGTTTTGATCCCCTGTATGAGGAAAGACTAAGATTCTGAGGGCATGATAAAGTTCAGGGTTTTGTGTGCCTCATGGCCCCATGACTTTAAAATCTCAGTTTTATTTCTAGACTTGGAATAAAGTCTAGAAATAGACTTTATTCAGCACCTCAGGCTCTCCATCTGAAAACTGCAATAATCAAACGTGGCAAAAATACTAATGACAAATAAATACTAATGGAATTGCTAATGGAATAAATTGCTCAGTATCTGACTTCTAGTTCTAGGTGATTCCTGTTGCAATGTTCTGAAATGGCTGCAAAGTTAGAAAATTAGTGGATGACAATGACTTTTCTCCTAAACTTTTTATTTTTCCCTTTTTCTTTCTCTTGTGTTCTCGCTTCTCTTCCTCATCTTCTGTTTGACCTGTTTCTTTAAGAATTCCTTTATTCTCAGTTGCATGGTCATAGAAAACTCATATATGTTCATAGATATGTGACATATACCTTTTTTTAGTTGTCATATGTGAACATGTTCAAACTACCTATATCCACAAGTTTACTAAAGTAGTTAGTTTTATAGGATATATTGGACAAAATGAATTAATCTATAGACAAATAAATTGATTATAAGTAGATATGATATAAAAGTGTCATGCAGTACATTTCTGTGCCAAATATTTTGACAATTCCTAGTTAACATTCAGTGTATTTTGTAACATTTCCCCCCTGATATCTTTCTATCAAGCTCAGATTGATTAAAAAGGAATAGGACAATAAATAGCAAAATCGTAAACACTGTAGAATTCATAAATATAATTTCTTCAGCAATATGCAGATTTCACAGGTTTGTTCAGCAGAGTCACATTTTAGAGGTTATCCTAAAGACACCTATATATTTTGTAATTCTATCATTATCAACACATAGTTTTGCCTTCTTTCCTTAAATAATTTTACAAGTATAAAATCTTAGCATAGTTTAATTTCAGCTTACCTGAGGGAGTGACACCAAGGACGATGAATACCAGGGTAAAACCTGCCAGGGTCATGATGTCAGTTTTAGGTGGATAATTTCTTGAAAAGAAAATGCAGGGTTTCAAAGTCTACAGTGGAAGAGAAGGGGCAAGTGGACACCTGAAGTGGGATAAAATCATCTGAGCCTGTCTCCATCCAGGGTGATGTTGCTTCAAGTACATACACTTCATTGATTTCCAGTCAGCTGTCAGATCATGTAAGTCTAACAAATATCACTGGGTCCTAACTCCTGACCGATTAATTTACTCTCTTGCAAGGAGATGCAGGGCGACAGAGAAAGGATAAAGTAAGATTGCTTCTGAATATTCTGTGCTATTTTTCTCATGGTTGAAGATCTGTGCAAAGGAAAAAACTGCATTTTACAAAATGCATCATAGAAAGTTTCTCATACACATTATTCCTCTATTATTTTTTTCATTTTGGACTCGGAGCCTAAGAATAATGAATGTGTCTTTTGGCTCCCTGGTCTAGTGGTTCTGATTTAGTTCCAGAGCATCCTCTGCAGTCCCTGGAGCCCACAGACCTCTTCCTCAAATAGGAAGTTGGGGGAGTTTAGTCTTCTTTTGTTTCCTTAACGGGACTTGGAGATTGAAAATGTCACCCTTTCTTTGATCCAGTGTCTCAGAGTTAATGGGATTGCATCTAGCTCAGTGCTGTCCAGCCCAGGCACCCTCATAAAGCACGTCTAACGAGTGGATAAGTGAACAATAGGGCCACAAAAGCACAGCGCTGGGTGGGGGCAGTTACTTAGAAGGAGATGGGGTGCTGCAGCAATGGAATAAGCTCTCCAATTTTTACATTTCTTCGTGAGATCTCATTAAACACCCCTGGGTGCCACTAGCAAATTTCAAACACCACACCCTCGGTATGTACTTAAAGATAAATGAGAAAAGCCCAGGCCTGAGAGGCAAGACTCCTCCTTCCTCATGCCCACCTCTTAGCGCTCTGGCTCCCCTCACCCAAGTGACTGTTTAATGCCTCTCTCCTTTGCTAGCGAGTTCCTGAGAGTGGCTCTGTATTCTTTCATCCCGATTTTTCCACTGTATCATCTGAGTCTAACATATCAAGACCTTAAGAATGTTGCTTAACAAAAATAAATAATTGGGGCCACATCAAACTGAAAAGTTTTTGTATATGTAAAGAAACCATCAAAAAACAAAAAGGCAGCCCATTTACTGAGGAAGATATTTACACATCATACTTCTGACAACGGCTTAATATCCAAAATATATAAAGAACTCATCATATACCTCAACAATGATCAAAATGTGGGCAGATTTGAATAGGCACTTCACCAAAGAAGACAGGGATGACAAAAGGCATGTGAAAATATGTTCAGCTTCAGCTATGATTAGGGAAATGCAAATCAAAATCACATGAAAAATCTCCCACACCTGTGAGAATGGCTTATATCAAAACCACTGGCAACATATTTTGATGAGGATGCAAAGGAAAAAGCGCTCTCCTGTTCTGTTGGTGGGAATGTAAATTGGTACAGCCTCTATGGAAGACATGGAGGTTCCGTATAAAACTAAAAATATAAATACCACAGCAATGCCACTCCTAGGTGTTTATTCTACAAACATAAAAACACTATATTCTATAAATATAAAAACACCAATTCAAAAAGATGTTTGGGGCCTCCCTGTTGGCGCAGCGGTTGAGCCCTGGGTTGCGAAGCTGCCTGTAGCCTCTGCAGCGCCGGTTCGATCCCCGGCTGCTCCCCGGCCACCGGAGGAGGGTCCCACATGGCGCACAGACCTCTCCTGCCGCCCGCTGCTCCCCTCAGCAGTGTACTTCGGTCCTTCTGCCTGTTCTGCTCCCTGCTCTGGCTCTGGTGAATTCTCTCACCCTCCTGCACTTCTGACTGTACCCAGTGCTTGTATAAATAAATAAATCTTAAAAAATATTTGCACCCCTACATTCACAGCAAAACTATTTATAATATCCAAGACATGGAAACAACCTAAATGCCCAAAGTTCAAAACATGTCACCAAGCTGAATCTACCATGAGGTCAAGATGGCAGGTGCCAAAGTCTCAAGAGAGTCACTTGCCAAAATGCTGAAGCTGGAAAAAGAACCACTGGCAAGAGCCAGCTGAATGGCTGGCATGGACCTGAGCAGGAGACTGTCCCCCAGGAGCAACTTTCCCTAAGTGGGTGCATAATGAGAGGCCCCTCCACTGAAAGCCTGCAAGCTCTGCCCTTGAAAGGCTACCCCTATGCCCCAGTCCTGCTCCACCTCTTGGTTCCTGAGGCCGGCATTTAAGAAGTCAAGGGGTGGAGCTGAGAGACTCAGACTTGCTTTCAATTTTCCCCATCAGTATTCATTTGGGAAGTCCCAGGGTGGAGTGGTGAGACTCTGGCTCTCCTACAAAATGATAGTGGAGAAGCACACACCCTGCCTTCTGAAGGTTAAAAGTACAGGTGACCAGCTGGACTCCCGACTGCTACCCTGTAGAACTGAGCCCATCACCTGTGGGATGTGACACTAAGTCTGGGTGGACAGAATCAGAATTGGGTTGAATTTTAGGATTCCCAGCTGGTGTTCAAGAATTGCTTAGTGGCCTGGAGGAGAAACCCATACACTTTGGAATCGGGTTCAGAACCATTGATGACTGAGGAGGGAGCGATTTGATGAACCTTCAAAAGTTGGGGGCTGTGCTCTCCCCACCATCTTCTAAGAGCACGCCATACCTCCCCCACTCCACCTCTGCGCGACTGACCAAAGGCAGACAGCTAGGGGAAGCTGGAAGAAAGTCTTGCGTTTCTCAGTGCTGCCCTCTGATTGGAGGTTTCCACTGATGAGAAAATACATTATTGAGCAAATGAATATAATAAAGATTCCAGCAGAACTTCCAGCCCAGGTGCAATGAACATTCCAATGCAGGCATAATCAACAAGTTTGCTCACTTACAGCTCCTTCCCTTTCAAGATTCATGGCCAGGGCCTCAGCACTCTTATCTACAAGGTCGGGCAGCTGGCCAAGCTGGTCTGTCTCTCCAAGGCCATCCCTGAATGCCTGCATCTTTCCCCCTTGCCTTGCCCCCCTTGTCTGGGGACTTTGCCTGCTGAAAAACAATGTTATCAATGTAACAGATATGCACACAGTTGTGTATAAAAGGAACCCTTGGTCTTTAAACGGGTGCTCAGACCTTACCGGGCTACCCAGGTCTGGGACCTCATGCAGGAGTAATAAATCTTCTCCTGACCTCACCATTCCTGAAGTACCGCTTGTTCTTTCTCTGCCTGGGTGAAAGGTTAGCATTTATTTCTACACCACCATGAACCCTCCTTGGGTTTGATTAGTTTGCTAGAGCAGATGACAGAACTCAGAGAAACATTTTACTTTCTGGATTATTAAGCAATCCAGTTTATTATACATGGATCTAATTCGGGATCCGCCAGATGGAAGAGAAGCACAGGGCAAAATTTGGGGAAACTGAGGGAGCGTCCGTTCCCTCTGCAAGCTATCAATCTCCTGAAACTGCCTCGAGATCTCTGACCCAGAAGCTCCCCAAACCTTGGCCTTTTTAATTTTTATGGCGACTTCATTACAAAGGCTTGAATCTGGGCCCCTCTCCCAGCCCTTGGGGTTTAGGGAGGCACTGAAAGTTCCAAGCCCTTAATCTCTGGGTTGGGCTCCCTGGCACTCAGCAAACATCCCGGAAGTGCTTTCCAACAGCTACCATCAACATAGTAAGAGGCACCTTTGTTACGCTCACCACAGGAAACTCCGATTTTGGAGCTTTGTTAGAAAAGGACAAAGACCAAATACATATTTCCATTGTCAATTACAATAGCACACCATACGCCAGGGATTTACAAACTTCTGTTATCATTGACCCTTCCTTGTGTCTGGTCTCAGTCATTCTTGCTGCAGTTTGTCTGCCTCTATGTCTAGTCAATATTATTATGATTTCAAATATAACTTCTTACCACGGGTGGGGAAATTTTTCAGGGCGGGGATAAGCAGTGGGTCTTAATGTTTAGAGTTCACTGGAATTTCAGGGACTGAAATTGAACCTATCACTAACCTCCAGCATAATCTGTGATTTCAGTAAAATTTCAGTCTAAGGATAATTCTTAATTTGAGTTAAAATTAATTTTAATAACTTAATTCAAGTTAATTTTAATAATTTAAATGAATGCTCTCATTTGATTTAACACTTATAAAATCCAAAGACCCTGGAAAGGAGGGCACTTTGATCCAAAGAATTTCAATCCTTTTTCTTCTTCAGCCCTTGTTCACTTACACATGGATGTCCTTCCAACAGTAATATTTCTCATTAAAGGGGGAGGTCTGAAAAATCATAGTTTGTAAATAAGTATCCAATTCTTTCCTGAGATCACATCATGAAAGTCAAGGGCTCCTGGGGAGGCTTTGCAATTTCCTCAGGTTTGGCATTAAGGGAGACTAGGACTCAGAAAATGGGTTGTTATGCTGAAAGAGCAGCATGGGGCTTGGGGGCCCCCTGTTGGACTGTAGGCCTTACCGCATGCTCCTTTTTAAAGGTTGCACGCTTTAGCCATTATCTGTTCATTAAATTTTAAATTACAAAAAGGAAAACCTAGCCTGCCTACTTCCAAAACTAAGCACTAGATGGCAATGTATTTTTGGTCTGATAGCAGCCATCCCACACATAGCTATCAAGGAAGGGTGTGCACACCATAAGACCTCCCCAAGCACAATCTGGAGAACTTGTAAAATAGGTAATTGAGTTGGGGCCTGTGACTGCTCCAGAATCAGGCAAGTCATCCGGCCTGGAGGCGCTGCCTCCAGCAACTGTTAGAGGAACAGGGAGGAGCAAACTCTGAGTCATTGAATGATGTCAGCCTCTGCCACCTTCTGGCTCTAGTTCCCAGCACACCACTCCCTGGCAAGCCACTGTGAAATGTGCTTCCTGAATTGGTGGTTTCTAGAAAGGGGTAGGGCAGCCATGAGGAACAGGGAAAAGGAAGAAAAGGAAGGAAGGCTTTCTGGAGGATGCTTTCTGGAGGATGCTTTTCCTGGTCGTTCTGTTCTTTTTTATGACCTCAGTGATTTGGTAGATAGCTCAAGCCCATGCTCTTGAGAGACCATGGTGGTCACCATGACAACCTCATGGTGGAGTCAGCTTGGTGGCACTCTTTGAGCTTTGGTTTTCACCTTCTCTCCCAGCGCTTTGAGCTCTACCCAGACTCTTAACCTGTGTTTCTTGCCAGAAGGTGCCTTGGATTCATTCTCCTGGCAGCTCTGCTCTTGGGCATTGGCTGCTCTGCTTTGGGTTCTGCCTGTTTGGCTGAACATTTGTCCAAGAGGAGATGGTTGATTTTGGAGTTTGATTGGAAGGTCTGCATTCTGAAATCCTTGTCTCTGCTACTCCTCTTTCCCCTCTCCCTATTCCCTTTGAACTTCTCACCAATGAAAAATCTTTGCGCATACAAGAGTTTGATCACTTTTATTTTATGTGCATGGTAGGCCCAAACTGTAGAAAATGGGCATCATGGGCTTTTCTTCTTAACAATTTGGGGTCTCTGGGCACTCATTGGTTTTGCCTGGTATCAGTTTTGGTGCCCTGAAATTTTGCCTTGTATCAGAACCTTGTGCTGTAAGGAAGGAAGGTTTGAAAAGAAAATAACCGTGTCTAAACTTACTCTATGCAGTGGAGCTTCTCAAACCTACCTATACATCCTAATAATATGGGGAGCTTTTGAGAAAGAAAAATCCCTGGATGCATTCTCCAGAAATTCTGGGTCAGTAGGTCTGGAATAGGGCCCATGTGGTTTTAAAGAGAAGCCAAGCTTACTGACCACAGACCACTCACTTGTATGAATGAGTGGAACGTCTCTTGCAAGTTAAGTCACCACAAGGGCCAGGAGAAAACCTCAATGACAGTGGAACAAACCAGAAGAAATCACTTTAGACAAGGAAGGGGTTGGCGGGGAGAGGTAAGGGTGTTTTTGAGGCCCCCAAACCCCAGAATGCCCTAGAAAATATCTGTGACCTTGATAGGTAGAGGGTGTAGAGTCCAGCATGGAGACCCCTGGTTGGGAGGAAGTTCTCACTTCATTCCTTTTTTTTTTTTAAAAAGATTTATTTATTTATTGATTGATTGATTTATTTATTTATTTATTTATTTATTTATTTATACAAGAACCAGGGTACAGGCCAGATGTGTGGGAGGGTGAGAGGATTCACCAGAGACAGAGTGGGGAACAGAACAGGCAGACTGACGAAATACACTGCTGAGGGGAGCAATGGGCGAGACAGGAGAGGTCTGCCATGCCATGTGGGACCCTTTCCGGCTGGCCTGGATCCAAACGGTGCTGCAGAGGCTGCGGACAGCTTCATAGCACAGGGCTCAACCGCCTGCACCACCAGGGGAGACCCTCATTTCATTCTTCACTGGTTCTTTTCCTGTTTCTTTTAGGAAGTTTTACTTCATCCTATTTGAATGATAAAAACTTCCTTCACTATGTCATTATTACTACCATATTTTTTCATTACTTTTCCCTGGCCAATAACGGTTGAGCTGATCCTATTCAGACTTACCAGGCCTAAGTGTTGGGTTTCCAATCTTAACCCTTCAGAGGAGTTCTATTTTGTTTAGATTCTACCTCTTTAGCAGTGATGCTTGTTCAGTGCTATATAGCAAGTGTCACTCCATGAGGCTCACCCTGTCAGAGAAAACAAGGAGGAGAAAAATTTCCCCACTGCTTTGGGTTCTTTTGAGGCTTGACTAACAAATTAACATCAGACAGATTGGTAAGAGAAAAGTAAAAAATTAATGGCATATATACGAAGAATAGATGGTTGTAAATTCCAAAGTAAAAAATGGTATAAACTAGGGGTATTTATTCTGTGCTAAGGGGCCCAGGGCATGAAGAGGAGAGGAGGGGGTTTTATATGGTGGGGAGGGGATGACTTTAAGACTAAAAAGATTAATTTCTCAGTTCACTGATAAACCTATACCTGGATGATATCCCCCCCATACTAACTAATTTTTTTTTAAGATTTATTTATTTATGCATATAAGAACTGGGGTACAGGCCAGAGGTGTGGGGGGGTGAGAGGATTCGCCAGAGACAGAGTGGGGAACAGAATAGGTGGATTGACTGAAATACACTGTTGAGGGGAGCAGCAGGCGAGTCGGGAAAGGTCTGCTGCACCATGCCTGGGGAATCGAATGTGTTGCAGTGGCTACAGGTAGCTTCATAGTGCGGCATTTTAACCCCTCGTACCACCAGGGAGGCCCCCCCTCCCCATACTAATTCTTTTAGGTCACTAGAGGAAACTTCTTTTACAAGCGGTAAGGCAAAAGTTGATAGGAAGGATAAGATTTTTTCCTGTTTCAGATCTGGGAATGGCAGAGTGACAAGTGATAGTTCAAGAGAGCTCCTCCTTCAGGCCTTCCTGTCTCCCATTTAAACAAGGTTTCCTTTCCTCACTTTCACACTGGCTTATTTCATTTAATGTAGTATCTTCATTGTCATCCTGATGCCCTGGACCATTGTTGTGGCCTGTGTCAGGATTTCCTTCCTTTTTAAGGTTGAATAACATTTCATTATTGTATGTATATGAGAAATGCTACTGTCATCACAGCGTGTACATGTCTCTGAGTCCCTGCTTTCGATCTTTTGTGTTTATGACCAGTTGAAGTAGAATTTCTGGATCATATAGTAATTCCATTTTATTTTTTTGTAATTCTATTTTCAATTTTGGGGGTCATCATCACACTATTTTCCACAGCTACAACATCATTTTAAATTCCCATCCATAGTGCACATTCTCTACTTCTCACCAACACTTCTTATACTTTATACTTGGAGGATTATTAGTAATAGCCATTGTGGATTGTGGACCTTTGAAGATACATGATAAAGGAAATTTGTGTAGGTTTTTGAAAATCCTTATTGGGAACTAATTGGGGGAGAGAAGATACATGTACTTTGAGACACAATTCTAACTTATGTTTTGATGAGATTCTTTCATTTATTCCCTTTATCTACATTCACCTTTATTATTTTTCTTCCTTTATTCTGCTCCTGACGCTATTAACTCTTATCGAACTCTGCAAATTATGGATCAATCATCTCATCTACCTGGCACACTGTTTCCAACTCAAGACAATGGGATCTTTCTAAGCCAAGAGCCAAATCAACTGGTGAATGTTTGGGTGAGTTATTGGGTGCTTCTTAAAACACAGCTATCTTTTTCCAAAATGACAAAGCAATTGGATTTGGCTTTATGAAAGGAACAAGGAGGCCTGACTGTCTGGGAATCCAAGGTGTTACTTTTTTTCTTTGCAAATGCAGGGAAATTAGTTGTACTTTTTCTTATGTGAATAGCATTGTTTGAATGCAGATCCGACATGCTCTTTCCATAAAGACCATAGTTTTGGTTTTGTTTGTTTGCCAATATCATAAATCCAAGCATTTCTTTGTTATGTCCTTTGTATTCCTGAGCTAGCAGAGGATTAAGAGCAGTTATGAGAGTTAAATGAAGCCTTATGTTAGTCCAGTGCTGAGTCTGTCCTTAATATGGGCTTGCCAAAAATATATAAACATCTGTCACCCTACACGATTTCCCCACTCAAAGCCCATCACGACTGGTGCTTGTGACACCTGGCTGCCCCTTCTGGTCCCTCAGCAAATATGACATTTGCAATCTTGCTCACTGTTTTCCAGGAACTTTAACACTGCACTGGAGGTTCCTGACAGGCCATATCTTACTGTTCTTGGAATAAGTTTGGCTGGTTCACGGAAAACTCTTAAAATATTTGTTGAAAGAATGGAGCAAATTTAAGCTGCTATATATCTGCATAGCAGTTCAGTTAAATTTTTAAGTGCCTGGGAATGTGAATACCATTATCTTGGTAAGGGTCACCTAAAAGAAATGAACCCACAGAATCATGCTTATTTAGACTTAACTCTGATATTATAAACTGACCCTGCTCTGCGTCCATTCCCAGGCCAACATGCCCTTTTCCCATCTGTATGGTCACACAGAGGGATAACTTTGTTTATCATGTATCTTTAATTTCATTCTGCTTCTTTAATGGTTGGGAGAATTGCCAACCATGCCTTCTGGTATTTTGCTTTTCCTGTTAGAGAGAAATGAGAGTTGGAATATTGATGGACCTGGGGATTTGCCTGAGCTGCCCCTTAGCTCAGTTTTGGCTCCTTGAATCTCCAGATCCAACTTACAGACTTTCTGCATTGCTGCTAAACAGTGCTGCAAAATAAAATTCAATTGAGTGAATTTTACAGAATTTATTTGTTTTCTTAAACTGTTCATGAATTGGACAGCATCCTATCTATCAGACAGAATGGAACTCCAAAGAGATGTACAGAATTAAAGACTTTCATCATCAGAGGGAGTGATAAGGAGGAAATTATACTCAGCCAAAAAGCAGATTCCTTATTAGAAGGTCACTTTTATTTAGGGCATGGCAGGGGCTCAACAGCAAATAGCCCATCTAGTGCTGGTCAGGTGTTTGTTGATTGACATGTTTGAGATTACCTTTCTGGGGGAACTGAAACTCAAAATTGTGATTAAGTTGTCTTGATTTAGTGACATGAGGCTTGGCATAAGTGACTCCATTTGGGGGCTGGCGTCTTGTTTTTAACAAGTCACTGTGGGAAAGAGGATTGTAGTCACTAGGATGTTGGATTTGATTCTATAAGGAACAGAGAAATCTTGAGAAGGTTGTGAAATACACAGAAGGCCTTTCCCCCATCCCCTGCTTTTTTCCTTGGTCCTCAGTTAACTCCTTCCATTAAGGAAAGTCACTTTTAGGTTTTATAAATTGTAGTAGGTATGTTCTTTTCAACAGCTTATCAGAGATCTTTTAGAAATGATTTTCAACTCTCTGGAGAGAATGTTATAACATTGGAAAGTAATTCACTTCCTTGTTTGGTGTTGAAGTTATCACCCTTTCAGCTTGTGTTAAGCCTTATTTTAATTTTATTTGTATTCATAGGGCTCTTATCTGAAGCAGTCAGTAGGAATAAAACTTCCAGTGTAATGGTTGAGGAAAGGGATTTTCTTGGGAAAGAAGACAGGAGAATAACAAATATAGTCTCACCTGCTCCTTCTTGTTGGCTGTGGCTGGAACCACAGTTTAATTGAAAATTGAAACGATTAATCTTTCAGCAGATTTGTGGCCTTATTCCAATTTCTGTGGATGATGGGACTCTAGTAAATGGTTCCAGATTTAAGTATTTCGAAATGGAAAGATTGTCATATTCTAGAAACTACAAACTTATAAATTTGATATCAATTTCCAGTAGAACCAAGAATAGCTTATGAGACAAATAGCTAATAGTTATTACTGAGATCCAGCATGGATCCATTAAAAACAAGTAGTATTAATTAAACACAGCTCTTCAAGTTGGGATGGAGAACTAAATAATTAAGTAATAGCAGATGCATTAACAGCATTAAACCTTAGAGGCTGGGAGGAAAGGCCAGTGGAATAGCATAGGAAATGTGCTTTGGCCTGCAGAGAAATGGACTAAAGAAAGAGTTCAGGGGCATAGATATTAGAATTTCTTCTCCTTTCCATTAAGCAAAAAGAAAAAGGGTTTTGTGAGTTGTGAATTTTAGCGATAGCCCAGCTTGACCCTTGTGAGTTTTCTGTCACTGAAGGACTGAAAGGAAAAATGACAATAGGGAAGAAAACGTCTACCTAGGAGAGCTACACCAGCAGGCCCTCAACAGATGAAGAAGGTGGATAAGAGATCACCCCCACCCTCACATTTTGGCCCCCATGAGTAACATTCAAATAATTGGAATTTGAGAGTCATGGAATAAGTTCTCAATTCCTACATGCCATTTACTGACATGCATAATTTTATCTTTATATATACATACACACATATATTCACAGACATGTATTAATTAACTGCTAATAAATACTGATACAGGTGTTTAAAGGGTAATCTTATCCTTTGAATAGCTCTAGAAAGTTGTTTCAGAAAAAAACATACCCATGATAAAGCAGTCCTTCTGTGCTTCAAAGATTATCCCCTCACACTAAACAGCCCCAAAAGTGACATTCACAAAAGAAGGAAAGACAGGATATCCCAGGGAGATCAGCCAAACCACCTTGGGGAGAGCAGGGTAACAAGTCACAGAGGATCAACTGTGATGTGAGAATTGCTTATGTGAAGAGAGTCCTTCTCAGGAAAGATGAAAGCATGTAGGATTGGGGGAAGTAAAGCAGTTAAGTTTCTGGCTTATTCAACAATGTGAAGATTATTATTTAAGAATCGCTACTATTCTGGGTGCAAGGGGTTAAGCACAGCACTATGAAGAAACCAGCAGCCACTGCAGCACGAGTTCGATCCCTGGCGGCCACCAGGGAGGTGACCCACATGGCACAGCAGACCTCTCCTGACTCGCCTGCTGCTCCCCTCAGCAGGGCACTTCGGTCAGTCTGCCTGTTCTGTTCCCCACTCTGTCTCTGGTGAATCCTCTTACCCCGCACCTCTGACCTGTACCCCAGCTCCTGTATGCATAAATAAAAAAATCTTTAAAAAAGAAAGAATCGCTACTATTCAGACCTCAACATTCAGAATTAATCAACAAGTGCCTCTTGAAAACCGTTTTGAAGTCATCTGTGATGGAAGCTGTGAGTGATATACAAAAATGGGAAGATATAACCCTAACCTTGCTGAAGTGTACCTTCTAATTACCAGCACTTCCTGGGTTATGATGGACAAGACTTCAACTCACACTCGTTTAAAATAACAAGAGGGGGGGCCTCCCCGGTGGCGCAGCGGTTGAGCGCTGGGTTGCGAAGCTGCCCGCAGCCTCTGCGGCGCCGGTTCGATCCCCGGCTGCTCCCTGGCCACGGGAGGAGGGTCCCACATGGCGCGCAGACCTCTCCTGCCGCCCGCTGCTCCCCCCAGCAGTGTACTTCGGTCCTTCTGCCTGCTCTGCTCTCCGCTCTGGCCCTGGTGAATTCTCTCACCCTCCCGAGCTTCTGACTGTACCCAGTGCATGTATAAACAGAAAGAAAGAAAGAAAGAAAGAAAGAAAGAAAGAAAGAAAGAAAGAAAGAAAGAAAGAAAGAAAGAAAGAAAGAAAGAAAGAAAGAAAGAAAGAAAGAAAGAAAGAAAACATGCCTCTATATAAAAAAAAATTAAAAAAAAATAAAATAACAAGAGGGGGACATTAATGAAGGGATTCTCAGGGGTTTATGGAGTCAAACGAGGAGCTAACTACTCAAGAAAGCTGTGGACAGGACTCTGGACGCTGGAGACAAGGACTGGTCTCCAGAACTCTCTCCAAGTGTTGCTTTCATGTTTCCTGCTGTAGATGAGTGTCTTTACATGATAGACAAAACGGCTCTTGTACTTCCAGCCTTGCAAGTGCCTTACAACAGATCCCTTGTCAGAAAGGAAAGGAAGCGTCACTCCCACTTTGAAAATGTAGAAAATGAACTTTGGCCACTTGTAATTGTGGCCAAGGATGAGGTATTATGATGACTCTAACCTGGGTCCTATGCCCCCTTCCATACTAAGAAACTAGCAGGGGTCCTTTGTGAGGAGAAAAGATTTGGTGTCAAAGAAAATCAAGTCACCACACAGTTATTCTGGCAAAAAAGACTCAAGGACATGAAGCAGGAATGAGAATATGCAATCGTCGGCCAAGCAAGTGTGCATAGATACAGGCAAGGGACCATCTCCAGCCTGTGTACACCTGCTTGCTGGCACTGCAGCCCACGCTGGCTCTTGCTTACTCAGGCATTGCAGAGACACTGGGTTGTCTTTATATTACAGAAAGCAGTTAATTTGGGAGCTCCCAGGTTCCTTTATTTCTGCATCAGAGTGACCATAAAGGAGACTTCAGCTCTTAGATTGGATTCAGAAAGTTTTCTTTCCTTTTTTTTTTAAAGATTTATTTATTTATTTATTTATTTATTTATTTATTTATTTATTTATTTATTTATACAAGCACTGGGTACAGTCAGAAGCACGGGAGGGTTAGAGAATTCACCAGAGCCAGAGCGGGAACAGAGCAGGCAGAAGGACCAAAGTACACTGCTGAGGGGAGCAGCGGGCGGCAGGAGAGGTCTGTGTGCCATGTAGGACCCTCCTCCGGTGGCCGGGGAGCAGCCGGGGATCGAACCGGTGCTGCAGAGGCTGCTGGCAGCTTTGCAACCCAGCGCTCAACAGCTGTGCCACTGGGGAGGCCCCAGAAAGTTTTCTTAAACATATCCCTTGATCTTGCCAATTCTGCAATCCTGTGTGAGTCCTCTGTGGCTTGCCTCTGGGCAGATGACATCCTGGATACAAAAATATTGTAGTAACATTTCATTTTGTTACTTTCTTTTCTTATATTTGATAGCCCCTACTCCCATCCCACCCAATGGTTCTTCTGGGGTACTGGAGTTACATCTTACTGCTTCCTTCCACAGTGCTTATCAGTCAGAGTACTGGGAGTTGTGCAGGGCAGAGACAAGTGGGAGCTAGGTTCTGGGTTTTGAGTGTGGCCCCCCATAGTTAATCAATTAACCCATTATTTCTCAACTGCGGACCATTTTGCTTTCTTCAGGGGACATCTGGCAATTCTCGGAGATATTTTGATGATCATACTAGGAAAAGGAGAGCTACTATGTCCAGCAGATGGAGACAAGGGATGTCTCCAAATACCCTACACTGCACAGGGGAAACTCACAACAAAAGTTACCCTTCTGAAAATAGTAACATGCCAAGGGTTAAGTCCTGGTTCTAATTCAACATACAGAGGGAGTCCAGTTCTCTGGAGAGCTAAGGATAGGGGCAGGGGAAAGTGGGAAGAATGTTCTAGGGAGTGGCAAAGAGAAGGCACAGATTGACCTGAGGCCTAAATAAAATGGTGTCTTCATAAACACTCTTGTTTTAATAAACATCACAGATATGGCAACAGCAGCAACAGCCTTAGCTTCAATAATTCCCTTCAACAGTCCCAGGCTGAGCTTGGAGAAAAACCTAGCCTGGAGAAAAACCTGGAGAAAAACCTAGCCTGGAGAAAAACTAGCCTGGAGAAAAACCTCCCTGCTAACCTTTCTGGATGAAAGAAACTCAACTTGCCCATGTCTGGTGTGGCTGACTCCCTAAGAGACGTTCACCCTTCTTAGATTGAAATGCTTGACAGTTTGACATTACATTAAGACTTTGATGAGAAATTCCATTATCCATATATTTTGTGTATTTTAGACTCATTGGAGTCTAATTGTTAATGTTGCCAATTCCCATGAAAAGAAAACATTAGCTTATAAGCCAGTCCTTATCACTGGAAAATTGCACCATGGGACACCCGTCATGAGAACAGGATGTATTTCAATGAGAAGGAACACTGAGAAAAGTAGCATTTAGATATAATTGTATTTCATCAAAGACAAAATTAAATTGGAGAAGAGGAGATGAGGGGAGCTTGCTCTAATCATGAAGCCCTGAGGGGGACTTACCACAAAGCAAACATTTAAGAATAATTAAACTGTTTTACTGAGGCTGTACGTTTCCTTCCATCCCTCTACTCACCATGTATTGATTCATTATGATTTTCTACTCTCTTCAGAAAAGGAACAGTGCTGAAGACTCAGAGGATAAAGCAATGACTTGGATGATTTCCCACCCTTGAAGAATTGACAATTTTGTGACTGCTAGCTGTGAGTTTGCCATGAGAACTCCTATTTCCTGTATGGGAGTTCAAATCTCATTCTACCATGTTCCTGTCCATAAATTGTTCCAGATTTCCCCACTCGTGTGGTATTTGAAGTAGATTGGACATAAAAGGCTGAGAAATTCCCTATCCACTGAAAGTAAGATATAGATCTATTTGTACTGCAGGGGGCACCATTACATAGAATAAACTTAGATCTGGGACTCCAGGCTTGTGCAATAACATGGCTTTTCCTGTGCCAGATTTTTGGGGTTCAGGGGATTTTAGAGAAATTTGCTCTCCTTTGGGATTCAGTAGGGGAGATTTTATGAGGTTTTAAAAATTGTTACTAAAGGATAGCACACATCAAGGAAAGCATACAGATCTTAAATATACAAATCAATGAATTTTTGCATAGCTATACATCAAGACATAAATTACATCTACCCTCCCCTGAATGTTCTGCTCCCCAAATTATACCCCCTCCCATATTCATTATTCTTACTTTATCACCATAGGTGGTTTTACCTAAATTGTACTTTATTAGAATGGAAATAATACACTTTTTCTTTGGTCTTCTTCTTTGGCCCGTGATTATGTCTGTGAGTTATCCATACTGATGTTCTTAGAGTAGTGCCATCTTTATACTGCAGTGTAGTGTTTTATTGAAATAACTCACCCCAATCTATTTATTTATTTATTTTCAATGGTAATCTGTTTTAATCTTTATTTTGCACTATGGATATAAAATGGCCATATCTAAATTTTGAAGATTTGAGGGAATAATTAGTATCATGTACATATAAGGAGAGATTGCTATTAATAAAAATTAGAACAGTGAAAGATGATTTCTATTTAGTAAATTCTTCCCTATGTAACACACTCCAATTTATTTGTTTATTCTCTTGCTGGTGGGCATTTGGGTTGTTTGCAACTAGAGATGTTATGAATAAAGTTGCTAAGAACACTTTTATATATGTCTTTTGGTGGACATGTGTGCTTATTACTCTTGCTATATATCTAGGTGAATTGGATAGTATTTTTAGATCCCCAAAATATTTCTAGATAAAATATGCTCATTTTTAATCTTTGAATGTATGTACAGGTATTTATTATAGGGAACTTTATCTGCAGCACACTGAGCGTGTTTGATTTTGACTCATTGCAGTCTAAAGAGAGCACACTGTTTTGTTCTACAGTCATACAACAAACAAAAACATTTATGCTGTGTCATGAACAGACAAGACCATGGTGGGAATTTGTGTACGTTGCTCCCTAAAGTTAATTGATTGGAAGAGTAAATGTGTGTGGGCATGGAGTTGGCTCTGGAAAGTGGGGTTCTTTTGGAAATCACATCTGGGCACCAGTGGGACCACATGGTTAGAGCCTTGAAGTCCTTCTGGTCTGTTAACCT